GATGACCTCCAAGGTCCCTTCCAACTTTATTATTATTATTATTATTATTATTATTATTATTATTATTATTATTATTATTATTATTATTATTATTATTATTATTATTATTATTATTATTATTATTATATAGGATGATACTGGATAGGTAACAAGTTCTACCGTACTGCAGAGATATATATATATTTTAAAGGGGTTTTCACTTTATTTAGAGAACGGCATCCAGACGAATTAAGAATGGTTAGATACCTTGATTTCAGCAAAAGACTGACATGCCTGCTTAAATCTCCTCCGCCCGGAGATAGGAATGAGTGGGAAGGTTTTCTGTGGACCGTGATCCATTTCTGACTTCCAGGAAGTCATCTTCTGATTAATGAGCTGCTTTTCTCTGGTTTAACCATGAATTGCTACGCCATTTGTATCCTCTTTTCTTCTTTCCAACAGTGGCGGCAGTCATACTCTTCTTTACGATAGAAAGCCCACACCACATACCTCTGACGGAAGTCATCGGCCCAGCATGGCTCATGTTGCTTCTGGGAACTGTGCACTGCCAGATTGTCTCCACGAGGACCCCCAAATCATCCGCAAACACCGGAGGGAGAAGGAGGAGGTACTTTTGTGGGGTGTGACCACAAAACAATTGAACGTCTGTATTATTGAATTTTAACACGCGGTCCCGTGTTAAAATTCAAGTTAAGATGATGCATTGCTCCGGCCTATGTACAAAAACCCAACGCTAAATTTGCGCTAGATAAGAGACCACGAAATTCGAGGGCTTGGATTTAGACCGTTTGTGATCACGCACAAACCTATTTGGCAGGTTTGTTACCCATATTAAAAGGGGTTTGTTTTCTTTTGAGTCTCCAGCCTATTTTCTCAACAGGGGTTTTGTCCTTGTGCCTTTAAGAAGGACGGCCATAGGCTGGGACAGAACAGGCAGAGCCTAAGGGTGGAGTCAAGAGAGGAATCAGCCTGGAATCTACACATCGCCAACCTGTCTTGAATTATGTTAACTCTTATCTAGAAACCAGTTTAGGGCTGACTATTAGTTTCATGTGCACAGGCTTGAGCAATACATCAACTTAGCCAGAACGTGACGCGTGGTCCTGATTCTTCGTGCCTGACCCAAATGAAATGAAAACGTAATTGGTCGCGTTTAAATCAACAAAGCCGCTTCAGCTTTAAATACGCTGACGGGTAACTCTGTCCATATTTTGGTGCTCGTGAATTACTTTTACCAAATGTCTCCCATTTTCCGATTTCTTCTGATGAAGGAAATTAAGGAAAGCAGCCCACTTGGAAGTGCATCGTGAAGGGGATGGCTCTAGCACGACCGACAACACTCAGGAAGGAACCGTCCAGAGTTACGGCACCAGCAGCTCTTACAGCCTTTGCTCTGTCTTCAAGGAACTCTGGCACGCTACTTCCTTTTTATCAGGGTTGGTATATTTTATTCAGGCCTTGGTTTATCGTAAAGGAGGCACTGTTCCCTTTCTCTGTCATCCTGTCCCAGGTTTTTGAGCACCTGCAACTTCGTTTTCCACCCTTTAGCACAGGGGTAGTCAACCTTGGCCGTGGACTTCAATTCCCAGAATTCCTGAGCCAGCTTAGCTGGCTCAGGAATTCTGGGAGTTGAAGTCCACAAGTCATAAAAGAGCCAAGGTTGACTACCCCTGCTTTAGCATCTGTCAACCCTGGAAGCCAGTAGGGGAAAATTGAGGTCACAGATGCCCGAAGTCCATGGAAAAAAAATAGATTCTGTTCTAAATCTGCTCATCATTTTTCAGCTGAGTTTTTTATTTGGCTCTGGTGCACTTCCTGTTAAATTAGGAAAGTTTCTAGGAAACTTCCTTTAATTCCAACAAGCAAGATAAACAGTTGATATAGTGATTAAGGCATCGGGCTAGGAAGCAGGAGACTCTTGAGTTCCTGTCCCGCCCTAGCCATGACTCGCCCAATCACCAGGAGATGGTGAGTTCTAGTCCTACTTTAGCCGTGAAAGCCAGCTGGGTGACTTTGGGCCAGTCACCAGTAGACGGTGAGTTCTAGTTTTGCCTTAGCCACGAAAGCCAGTTGGTGACTTTGGGCCCGTCACCAGGTGACTGAGTTCTAGTCCCACCTGAAGCACAAAAGCAGGCTGGGTAACTTTGGGCCCTTTTATGATTTGTGGACTTCAATTCCCAGAATTCCTCAGCCAGGCACGCTGGCTGAGGAATTCTGGGAGTTGAAGTCCACACTTCTTAAAATGGCCGAGGTTGAGAAACACCATTTTAGCTCTTTCTGAGTTAGCTTTATTTCCCCCTCACATTATGTCAGGGGTCTTATGACTTGTGGACTTGTATCTACGCTGGCTGAGGAATTCTGGGAGTTGAAGTCTACAAGTCATCAAAAGGCCAAGTTTGAAGACCCCTGGATTAAAGATTTCCTGCGTGTATGTAGGCATAAATTTAGGCCTAAAGTAATTATTGCCTCCAAACCACCTCGTTTCGACTTTGACAGATAGGTTTGTATATCCTAAATCAATCATTAATTTGTAATAGTTTGTAAGTTTAAAATACATTATCAGCTTATATCCTAAGAATTCTATTTTTGCCTTTTTTTCTTCTTCTTTGCCTTAAATCAGTTTGGGAAATGGGATCAGGAAGAAGTCTTCAGCTAAACAATAATTATTTCGTGTGTTTGGTTGGCCTCTAGAGCAAAGAAAGCAAAGAACTCCATAGACAAATCCACGGAAACCGACAATGGGTACGTCTCTCTTGAGGGAAAAAGGACAGGGAGAAACAGTGAAGATGCTTTGCAGTTCCAGGATCCTGTCTCTGAGGTCATCCGGGCAGAAGAGACCGGCTGGAATATCGGAACTGCCCGAAGTACATACAACACTTCGAATCATAAAGTGAGTCCTTTGTTTTGTGTTCATGATATTAGACTCTCTCTGTGAGCGAGGTGGGCGGTCTCTCCGTCGGGTAGATAAATGAATTAGGGAAGGGAAAAAAGTTATGATGCAAAAGAAACAGAAAAGAACGGGGACTGCCATTGCCCCAGCCCTCTGGAATATTCTACCCTCCCCCCCGAAGGTGAGACTGGTCCCCACTCTCTTGGCCTTCCAAAAAGGAGTCAAAACATGGTTGGAATAGAATGGAATGGAATTAAAATAATAATAGAATAGAATAGAATAGAATAGAATAGAATAGAATAGAATAGAAAATGAATGGAATGGAATAATAATAATAATAATAATAATAATAATAATAATAATAATAATAATAATAATAATAATAAGAAGAAGAAGAAGAAGAAGAAGAAGAAGAAGAAGAAGAAGAAGAAGAAGAAGAATAGAATAGAATAGAATAGAATAGAAAATATGGAATGGAATAGAATAGAATAGAATAGAATAGGAAATAATAGGAATAGAATAGAATAGAATAGAATAGAATAGAATAGAATAGAATAGAATATATGGAATGGAATAGAATTAGAATAGAATAGAAAATATGGAATGGAATAGAATAGAATAGAATAGAATAGAATAGAATAGAATAGAATAGAATAGAATAGAATAGAATAGAATAGGAAATAATAGGAATAGAATAGAATAGAATAGAAAATATGGAATGGAATTGAACTAGAATAGAATAGAAAATATGGAATGGAATGGAATAGAATAGAATAGAATAGAATAGAATTAGAACTTTACTGTCACTTAGCATACATTAAAATTAAATTTTGTTGCATACAGCTCTCAAAAAATACCATTATGCATACACACACACATACACACACGATACAGAGCAACGTCACAGTTTCCCATGCATGCGGAGCTCAGAGGACTATACAGCCAGG